CGCGGCCACCGCCCGCGCGCAGCCCCGCCCTCTCGCCACGGCCGCTGGCGCTGGGAGGCCCCGCAGACGCCATTTCCTCGGCGCCCCCGCGGCGGCGCGGCTGCATCAGCGCTGACGTGAGGCCGACGCGCGGCTCCGCCCGGTCCCCGGTCCCCCCCACCCCCTGTGACGGGGGCAGCACGTACAGGGCGGCGGGTGAGTTGCGGGAGGGGGCGGGGACACGTGTGCGCGCAGCCCGACCCCCCGCGGGCCGGCAGCGGGGCAGCGCGGAGGGCAGCGGGCGGCGCCGGCGGCGCGGAGGGCAGGGGCGGGCGGGCACGGCACGGCAGGGAAGGGCAAGGCAGGGCAGGGCAGGGCAGGCGGGGGGCGCTGTGCCGCGCTCGGCTCAGCCCCGCCGCCGGGAGCGCGCAGTGAGGCGGCCGAGCGCGGCCGCGCCAGCAGCCGGGAGCGCGCCGCGCTCAGGGCCGGCAGCGCAGAGCCCGCACGGCGCTGCCGGGCGGCCCCGAGGCCGCTCCGCGTCCTGGGAATTCTAGGCGAGGCTCGCGGAGCGCCGGCTCCGTTACCGGCCGGGAGCCGCGGTGTCACCGGGCTCTGTCAGGGGCGGCTCCGGCCCTTGCTCTGGGAGCGGCTCGGCTGGGCTCGGCCGGCGGAGCGGGAGGAGCAGGGACAGTGCCGGCCCGCTGCGGGTGGAGCGCCCCGACGGCCGGTCCCGGGGCTTTCGCGGGGCTGGCCCGGCCGAGGCGGAGCGGGGATACCCGGTATCGTTTCCCCGTAGCCCGGTACACCCCGTTACATCCTGGCCCAAAGGGCTTTCTGAGCTGGGTCAGCAGAACAGGTGGGGGAGGATCACAGTGGGCGCCGTGAGTCCGAGGTCTTAAGTTTGAGGGTTTTGTCTGCATCCCCCACTGCCGCGGCAACATCATATGTGGTGCTGAGTGCTAAGTGATTCCAGAGGGACTGATGCTTGAATGGTCCTCTGGCCTATCCAGGGGCTGGTTGGACCCTTCTGAAGGGGGACCGTGTGTCCTCTTCCCAGCGGGCTCGGCACTGCCTGGTCCGGGTGGTTGAGGTGGCAGATGCAGAGTGGACAGGTAGCATTGCTTGTGCACACAAGAACGGCAGGTTGGGCTTTTAAATTTTCTTTTTAGGGTTTTGCTAGGGAGTTCAAGGAAGAAAAGGATGGGGAAGAAAATGAGGAAACACTGAGAGTTTAGGAGACACAAGAAACTTAGTGACGAAGCTTCTGATGATAAAAAAACCTGAAAGTTTACACTTGCTAAATCTAGTCTGTTTTACCTGGCTGAACGCCGTGACCACCTTGCCAGCTGGTGTGCTTCACACCATAGGGTAGTAAAACAGGTTATTACAGAGTTCGTACTTGAAAACACACTGCCCTTCTGAAACGAGTGCATTCTGAGAGTTTTCACTATCACTGGAGTCATCAATAAATGCAAAACAGGTGCTTGTAAATTCACATTCTTGCTTTCTAGTAACTCCCCTGTGAATAAAAGCCTTCAAAGTGATTTGGAGCAAGGGCTGAAACATATTTCTTAGCCCCTTATGAGTTTCTTTGTAATAAGCCTCCTTTGTAAGAAGTCTCTGATGTATAAAGTATGGTTGAAATAAAAAAGTTGTTTTTTAAAATGTCTCTGGGTATTTAATTAGACAGTCACACATTTTCAGATATGCAAAATATTGTACCCATTTGTTTTTGCAGTTTAATTTCATCGACAGATGTTAAGTATTTGTATGAATATTCAGTGATGGAAAACAAGCAGCAGTACTGGGGGAAGTGAAGGAATTTTTTGTGCTCTTTATTACAGAATAGGATATTTTGGTGCAGATGCTATCCTTCATCTTTTACCTGTGGACAAAAATATAAAATGTTCACATTTTTAGTTGTAAATTACTCCCAGTTTTCTAGGAAACCTGGCAGTGTTTTCCTCCAGCTGATTCTGTCTGCCAGATTTGTCTTGCCAGGGATGCTTCAACTGATGGCAGTTAAAGAAGCTTATGATGTGCACTGTGTGCATCATCTTAGTCAGTGTTTATCTGCTCCTGACCCGCTGTACATTCATCTCAGTGACTGTAGTAAACGTGCTTATATATTGAAATGTTACAAGCTTTGGTAACAGTTAAACTTTGTGCCAGATCCTGAAGATTTCTTTGCTAAGTTGTAGGAAGAAGCAGATGTCTTTACTTACATTATGAAAAACTGTTTTTGCCCTGTTTTTATAGGAGTACAGAGGTATAACTTGTTTATTAATTTAAAAATCCAGATGAATATTTAAAATTACTGTTCAGTGACTGTAAGCAACTAAGGTAGAAAACGTAAGAAAATAATGTATTAATACTGAGTATAAGACTAAAACTTGTATATAATTAATCTTACAGTGAAGAAAAACATATAATTTTAAACAGGACCTAAGACCACATATGTAAAAACTGTTTGTTTAGTTTTACTTTAAAATAGAAGGAAGGTAACATGAACTTTAAAGCATGTTATATACTACTACTGATAGACTTTTATAAAGGATTTTTAGTGCTTGGCAGAAAATTCTTTTTTTCTTTCTTTGAAACTTAAAGCAATGCATATGTTAGAATTTGCTTGAAGCGTAGACTGAGTGTGATACATGTGGAAACTGTTTAAGTCAGTAGTTTCTGGACTGGATTTAAAACTGTTTTGTGACACAGTCTGTATTACTTCAATTTTAGAAAAAGCATAATTATGATATCACTCAGTATTTTTTCTGTGTATTTCTTAAAAACAGTTTGAAGTATTTATGTTAAAATTATATACAGGATGCAAACCCTCTGCAATTCAGGTTATAGGAATCTGACAGTTTATGGGAGTGCTCCAAAGACAGTGACAATCCAGCCAGGACTGTGAAATTCAGGAGTTCCTTAGCATGCCTGGCTTTGAGCTGTGCACAAGTCCACATGAGGTGACACAGCTCTGTGTGACTGACCCTGTGGGCTCAAATGACTGCAGCTGACTGACCTGCTCCTGCGAGTTTCATGATCCCCTCTGCTTATGTCTATCAAACATTCCTAATCTTGTAACATGTCTGAATTATGATACTAATGTGCTTCATTTTGTCTTTAGTCATCTTTCTCATTGAAGGTTTATGCCAAGATAACTAGTGTATCTTTTAAAATTACTTATGTACTTCATTATTTTTGTTTTGGTTTTTTTTAGGCTATAGTTGGATCTTTATATTTGAATGTTGTTTCTAGTCAAGTCTCTGTTTACAAGCAGAGGTTGTCAAAAAGAGATGGGTTTGAGCTTATCTAGGAAGAGTATTTTGCTGTGTAACAGGGTAACAGTTGCATTTTATGGAAGTCATATTTGCAGACTTTACTCCACCTCGCTAAAGTTTTAAATTAAGCAATCATTTGTATTAAGAGTCAGCATATACACAGTTATAGATGGAAAATCTATATAAATTCCAGAGTTTTTCATGTATATCAAAAATCTTAGGTATATTTGTCAGTTCACTGACATGTATAGTACTTGTTCTTTTTCTAATTAAACATAAATAATCTAAAAAATACACCCCTTTGTCTGTATTGTATTTTGCAAAGTACGAGGAACAGCTTTGTTAGATTTTCTGCTGCACTGATGCTCTTTTCACAGCTATTTGCCAAATCAGTTACTGGAGCACTGCAGATGAAAAGACTTTGGGAGAAAAATCCTGATAAATAGTAAAAATAAATAAATTTTTATAGTGTTCTACAATTAGTGAGGAATTAAGCTAAAATTAGGAACTAAATCCTTTTTTTTTCCAAGATGAAAAGTGGCTCTTTCTAGGTAAAATTTCTATGAAATGCATTCAATGGGAATAATAAGTACTTTTCTTTTATTTTTTTCCCTCCAACAGTAGGTTTTCTGTGACAGATGGCTCTGGATACAAAAATACTTCACGGCCTTCATAAAGTGAATTAATTCTGACTTTATTCCCATCTTTAGGAAGAGATTACAATGAATATGTTGCCAGTACCTATGCATTATTTAATCTTCCTTGGTGTGTGAGCTGTTATGAAGCTTATGGAGGCATTCTTACCATGAACCAGATAGAGCTTTCATGTTTAAACCTCTATGGATAGCCCTAGTTTATGAAGAAAGAATTTTTTTTCCTACTTTATTTTTGTTGTTACATTGCATGTATATATAAAACCAGAATGGTTTAATAAGATAATATTTTCTTATGGAAAAATATGGTGGAAAGCTGGGTGAAAATATTCTCCCCAGAGTTGTTTGACTTTGGTGAATTTCGGTAGATCCTTAATTTGATTGGATCTAGAGAAAAAGGTAATTTAGTGGTAACTAACAAGACAAAAACGTAGAAAGATTTTAGGTGTAAAATAACTTCTTATGGTTCTAATCTGAATTGATACTGGATAGGATACAAAACTTAATGTGGGCAGAAATACTAATGTTAACTTATAAGATGTTGAATTGTGTACAGCTTGGCTACCCCTAGCTGTAGTACTGTAAGTCTTGTCAGTAGAATACTGTTGGAGGCATATGAGCTCAAACTCTGCTCTGCATCATTTGACTGGATATGTTTTTGTAATTTCATGCCTTTATTCTGGGCGAAAAGGGTGATTTTCAAAGAAACCAATAAAATTTATCCTCAAAGATTGTGGAATGTTCTCTAAAATAGTGCCGCAAAAGGAGTTTGCTTTACATTTAATTTGATTCAGTGTAGTTACTTTTAACATGTGGGACTAAATTCCAGAGTCTCAGAGTCAGATGGGTAGCAGTTTTCCTTCCCTACCTCTTCCATCTCTCAGTGTAAGACCTGAGAAGAAACCAAAGTAACTATCAGCCAGTTGAAACAGTTGAACTTTGAGTTCAGACAGGCTTGCCATCCCCTGATTACAGTAACAGAACCCAAGGAATTGAGATTTGCTGCCTCTTAAATCCCTCATCTCTATCATGTCTTCCTTTTGCGGCCTCAATTGATTGTGTAAGTAGGGTGTAGGTGGGAGCATGCCTGAGGGCCTGCTTGCCTCTGCCTGACCCTATCCTGTCTCTGTTCTGTTTGTAAACTGACCTGTTGCCATGGCAATGTTTGACATTACCTGTTCAATGTTGCACCTTCAGTGCAGGGTTTGGTAGGAGAGAAAGGGAACCGAAGAGAACCGAGCTCTTGTTTTAAAATTCACACCTTCCGTTATGACTAAGTGTGCCAAGAAATATCGAAAAGGAACTGTCAGGTAATTGCATTTTTATATAGCAGATACATTTGGAAGCTTTCTTAAACTCTTAGTTTGAATTGAGGGTCAGCAAGTTACTATGAAAGTTTCCTATGAAACTTACCCTACTTTTAATCCTGCAAAATTAGAAGAATCATTGTGGGTCTTGAGCCATGAGTAGTTTATAGTTCAAGTGTAGATCCCACCTGGAAATCAGCATCTTGGAAGGTTTGAGAGGAATGTAGCAGCACGTGGCTGCTGGGCAGCTTGAGCCATGTCCATTGCAAGGTGTGAGGCCCAGGGGACCTGCTGTGGGTGGTGCTGCTGGGCTGCTCTGGAGCACTGTGCTCCCAGCCCTACTGGCAGCAATGCATGGGACCCTGGGACTCTGTGCTTGTCCCTCCCTGAGAACCATTTCCAGAACTGCCTCTCCTTGCAGCTTTCCAAAATACTTGTTTTAGGGCTCCTACCTATATGAATTGATATTTTAATGCAGGGGAATGGGAAGAAAGGACTTCAGTTAATCTGATCGTTTTGACAGAAATTTATTTATTTTCTGTTAGTTATCTGCTCCAAATATAAAATAGTTTGGAATTGCACTCCTCCATGTACTGCATTATTTAAATGTATATGTATTTAATTTTAGACAGATGACCATGGAAATGGTTGAACAGGATGACAATGCAGTGGATTCTATGACCGAGAGAAATGCTGGTCACCTTCAGAATCAGTCAGGCCGAAGTCAGATTTCCTCAGGACCTGAGGTAAGCTGAAATGTGGAAAGATCAGAAGAATCAATAAAGTGATATTCAGAGCTGCAGTGATTTTTAAATTATCAATTTGCATGGCATTCTCATGTTTAAAAGTGTTGCTATCAAATAGGAAAAATATAGCAAAGGTATACTGGAAACTATGCCTGTAGTAGTTAACAAAGGACCAGTGTAACATCAGGTCTGTTAAAAGGTAAGGCTTTCAGGAGACCAGCTTTTTCAGAGTAGAGTGATTGGTGGACACGTTTTTTTTCTATTCACTTTTACAAGATGATTGTCTGTTATAGAGATGGGAAGAGGGTCCTAAGGAATTGAGGTGGCTGGAAGATCAAACATCTAAAACGTGTGTCTTGAAGATGTGATGAATAACAAAAACGAAAACATGAATAAAACCAACCATGATTTTCTCCTAGTTCCAGTTTTTGTACAGAACATATTTCATCTAATTGCAAGTACATTTTTAATGTATCCAATGACAGTGACTGGAGTTCTAAAAACATACTTCACGTGTTCTGTATGGTTGCTCTATCTGGATTATTCTTTGGTAGTTAATGGATAAAAGATTATATAGTAACAATTCTCAAACATTAAAAATATATACATGTTAAAACATGAAACATTTGACACTTGAGAGAAATAAGGTTCTTGACCTTACTAATAGCTTCAGAAAACTGTATGAACCACTTAAAAGGATCTTGAAACCCCCTTTGTGAAATAAAGGAAGGGATTTTAAAAAACATCTTACAGAATTTATTAATCTGTAAGTTTTGATGCCATGTATTTGGATACTTGATTTACATTATAGGTATATTTTAAAAACTGAAGGCAGGTGCTCTTTTTCTCGCATCTTCAGACACAAAGACTGCAAAATACTTATCAACTTTTTTTTTTGTTTTGATACATGCAGCATTGGGAATATTGTTTGTTGGGTTTTTTCTTTTTTTTTCTTGAAGAGTGGAGCATGAAATCAAGAACTTTGTTGTTCTGTTGATGTCATCCCCTCATTTCTTCTTTCTTTAGTAGTTCAGTTCAAATTTTGTGTTTTAACTTCATAGGATGAATTATGCGTAAAATCTATTGTCTTGTGCAATAGTGTTTGAAGAAGATACCTGTGAATTCTGTCACTTGGGATTTTTAATGTTGATCTAGAGACAAAGCTGTCACTAATGCTGTAGGAGAGCTTCTGCTGCGTCCCCAAGGAAAACACTTTTTATGTTTGTGTGCCTTTAATGCTTGAGTACTGTGTGTGAAGGTTCAGCTGTATTGGGTATGGACTTCATCTCTTTCAGTTAAAACTAATAACTCTGAAGTATTGATGAATCATTTAGGACTAAACCAAAATACATACTTGAGTTTGAAGGTTGAGATTAACAGTCCAGAGTTGACATCTGGAGTCTCTTTTTTTGGTCAGACGGCCCAGAGAGCTTTCCTGGACCTGTCAGAGCTGCTTGGTGCACGTAGCTGGAGCCGTAAACATCCCTCTCGTGTGCTGTCCAGAAAAGTGTGTTGGTGCAGTTGTGCCACTCTGAAGAGGAGTGGAGCTGAGAGGGCTCCAGCGACAGGCCTGTCTCCTCAGCCACCGGCGGTGCCACTGGCTCCCAGGGCCTGCAGCCCTGACACCCCATCAGTGCCCTGAGGCTGCACTGCCACAGCATTTATTTTGGTAAAGCGGGCCTGGACGGAACATTTACCTTGTTATGACATTCCTTTGACTTAAGATGAGTAGGATTTTTTTAGTCTATGTTCCTACCTGGCTGACTTGGAAGGTGAGGTGCTTTGTCATGGCGAGAGTCAGGGGCGCGTGTTGAGGGGTTTGTGTGGGACATCTGACTGGTTTTGCTGGTGGTACCAGATAGGAAACTTGGGGTGTTTCTGAGGAATTTGTGGCTGTGCCACTGGTCCGGTGTCTGTGTATTTTGACTGTTACAGAGGGGCACAGATCCTGTCTCCCTCTTTGGCCTCTGGAGGAGTGCGGTGAAGAGAAGACAGCCACTAAAAGTGACTGAAATGTACCTTGTGCCAACTTCCAACCATCCTTCCTGCTAATTTAGTTGCAAACATGCAGAAATAGAGAAAAGAATGACTTGATTCTTACCAAGAGCTAAAATGCCTGATTACTGATGCTGAGGACTCCTTTTCAGATATCTTGGGGACAGACACGGAGGACTGGGGCTGTTTGTTTTTTTCAGCAAGATATTTGTTTAACCTGGGGTTCTTTTCAGTCAGAAGTAAAACATTTTAATACGCTATCTTTTAATACTCAATTTGTAGTTTTCTGTGTATTACCAAAGAATTGTAGAAGGGCTGATGTTGGAAGGACCTTTTGGAATTATCTAGCCTGACCCCTCTGCGCAACCAGGGTCAGTGAGAGCAAGTTGCAAAGGACTGTGTCTACTTGGGTTTTAAATATCTCCAAGGATGGAGTCTCTAGAATCTCTCTGGGCTTCTGTGCTAGCAGGTGACTGCTCTTGCAGTAAAAGGGTGGGGGTTTTTATGTCCGGATGGAATGTAATGGTTTTATTATGACTTTGTCCAGGGAATGACAAGCAAAATGCTGGGGATACAACTATATAGGAGGTGGGCTTTTTTGGTTTGTGTTTTTGTTTTTGGGTTTTTTTTTGGTATGGAGATGATTTTGTTTGTTTGCTGTTTTTTTGGTTCGTTTTGGGGTTTTTTGTGTGCGTATTTGTTTTTCCTTCCCCTGGAGTTCAGGCTTTTCAAAGAAATACCTGCCACTTAGTTTTAAAAAGGTGGACAAGTATTCCATAAGATGATCATCTCTAGAGGGCAGAGATTGTTTTGTGCGAAGCATTTTTAATGTGTCCCCTGTTAGGAGGCAGAGGAGACATTAAGAATGTCTGGGCTGGAGCACTATGATGTGATGGGATAACCTCCGATGCTAACAAGGAGCTATTATACGTTATTAGTAGGGAAAAGATAGTGTTTGGGGGTTTTTCCTAGCTTGTGTCATAGATACTGCTATATACTCCTGCAATTTTTTGGTGATGAAAGTAAAATTACTGTTTCTACAAAAGCAAAAATGAGTACATTTGAAACTAGCAAAAATGAGGTACATTTTTCCGTCCATTAAAGGGTTATTTTTTAAATAAAGTGACTTAATGTAGAATAAGATTGCATTTATAGTTTAATTTCTTGCATCCATCACTTTCAGCCAGTTAATGAATTGACATAGTCTTTTGTGATCCAGCCACCAAAAGAAATAGGTAAGAAAATATTAATTGGTAAAATCTTTGGTGGTTTTCTTTAGAAGCTGTTGAAAGTGTACAGAACATCTGTACAAAAGGTTGATGCTTTTGAGGGATGCTTTCAGGGAAGAGTAAAAGGTGCCAGATGGAAAATTTCTCAGCTTGTTTTGAGATGGGCTCCATGGGTTGTCTCACATGCACAGATTTTCTGTTGATACATATAGATCTGTTCTTAAAAGGAAGTTAATTTTTATTAGAATATTCTGATAGTGTTGATGATAGCCAAACTTCTATTTTGGAACAGTTACATCTGCAATGGTATTCAAGGAGAAATTAGATGTTCCTTTTGCAGGATTTCTAGAAGCCATACTGCGTTCTCTGTTGCCCTGTGCTCAGCTACACTAAATATAATTATAAAAATGTAAGATCAATGTCCTTAGACCTTTTTCAGATTTGACAAAAATACTTTCAGTTATGTCATGTTTTTTTTTTTTAATCTTACACGTTGATGGTTTTCCTTTGATTTACTTTTTGTTAACTTTGTCATGTTGTCTGTCAGTAGAGCTGTCTGCTGTTCTTGTCTGAGATACCATCTGTTGACCTCTTGGTGCTGGCCCTGAGTTAGACATACATCAGGATTTACAATGTAAGAACTGCTGTCAGAGAGATCAGAGGAAGATTTTCAGAGCCTGGAGTGCATAGCCATTGCAAGCTGGACTGCTCAGGTTTAGCACTTCAGGGGTGTTCTTGTGGGCTCTCAACATCAAACTGTGTTATATCTTGCCCCCAGTAGTTTGAGCCCTGTAAGAGTTTGCCAGACATTAAAAAAATTGGTCCTAAAACCGGTCTGCCAAATGCAGCTCCATACCATTAGCAAAGCTGATGTTAGAGGATTATAAATGTGCAGCTTTGTCCCCATTTTGTGCTTCCTCAAAGGGTATGCTGTCACCAAATGTCTGAAATCAGCCCAACATTGTTTTCCTTAAAAGTATGTGCTTCTATTTTTGCATCAGCTTTGGAATTGATCAAAACTTCCCTGTCTCCAGCTTTTCCTTGTAGAGGGTACTCGGTGTCTGAGCGTGGCAAGTCCTTTGTTCTTCTGTTAGGTGAATCCAGGATGGGTTTGCCTTGACTTTTCCTTTCCCAGAATTTTCACTTTACTTCTAGAGTTCTTGCAGTGTTTTGATTCAACAGCAGGGGCAGAAATCAGATGGACCTGTGTACTGCTTATTTCATATTGGCAATGTTGAAGGTACAAGAGGTTGAAGGTGAATGTAACCTCTCTAATTCTCAGTAGGGAAAAGTTATCTGACCGTGTGTGAGGGAGCGTGTACATCCACAGAATAACTGTTCAGATGGACAGTGCATCTTGAAGTCAGATAAATGATGAGTAACCTCTTTCTCTGCAGGAATTTGTGCCTTGGTATGAAAGTAGTGTATGATCTTCTTTGTTGGCTTCTTTTCTCTCTGTGGAAGAGGGAGCACTTATATTTCCAAACACATGGAGTATAGTACCATAGTGCTATTATGGATTGCATGGTTGGTATTTGTTGAAGCAGTTAGACTTGACTGTTGCACGCCTAGGAGCATAGAATCCATAGAATGTGTTAAGCTTCCCCTCACCCACTGTGTTCCTGAGTCGCTTCTGCAGATTGTTTTCAGTCGCTGTGCCAGACAGCCCTTGAGGTAATGACGATAGAGATGGCATTGCTCAGCACTGATGTCACAAAGGAATTTATTTTTCCCAAGTCTGTTTCAGTCAGCATTTACGCATGATAGCACCAAAAGGTTCTAGTATTTCAGTTAACACCGGAATATTCAGCTTGAAAACTGCAAAAGGAAATGTGAATTGAAATTGGTTCAATATTTTCTAATATTTAATAAAAGAGATGCAGAATATGATGTTTGAAAGTTTTATAATACTGCCACCTCAACCCTGCCCCCCCTCATTTAATCTCTTATCTGAATTAATGGGAACAAAACAATTTCTCCTGTGGTATTGTAAACTTCACTCCAAAAGAGATTAGCTGAGTGTGGTTTTTTTTTCTTTTTTCTTGTGTGGTTATACTGAATAAGGAGCTTTTAAATTAATGTAGTTTCTTAATCCTTAGTACTGGATTATTTCCTGATCATGTGTGCCTAATTCATTGTGTACAAATAGAAACTCTTAAACTGTTCACTTTTTACTGTTTTCTATGTGTTGTACTCAGAAACTTCTTTCTGATACACAGAGTATTGTATCACATTAGAACTCTTACAAAGATATCAGTAAGTCAAAAGGTTTGGTGAAATTGCCTTTATAATATTTTGGAAGTTGGCATGCTTTGTAAACATTTAGACTGCTCTGTGCTCTCTCCTTGAAGCTTGGGTTAAGGATGTCAACTTTGCCACAAAAGAGATTATTCTCTTCAGATCTTTGAGACTTTCTAGAGCTCAGTCTCAAATATGTATTTCTGATAAATTTCTCTTAACATTAATATTTATTCTACAGATTGGGAAAAAGGTTTGCACGTCCTATCTACATATAATTTCATGCCACTTAAGGAATGATTGTTTCCATTTCAGGGTTAGAAATGCCCTAAATTGTTCCATTTCCTGAAAAGCAGTTCAGGTTCCTGTAACACTTAACAACTGCATAGGGATTGTTGACAAGATCCCATCTCTGTTTCCTAGAAACAGTGTTTCTTCAAGATAATTTGAACCACCATCAGGTCTTTTGGAGAGCAGTGCATCTTAATAGTAGTTAACATTTTTCACTTGCTTCAAGAAAGGAATATTTCCCAGGCAAGCTATGGCTTATGGATCAGGAATGAAAACTTCTTTCATATTTGGAATTAAAACCCCCTTCATTGTAAATACAGAAAAAATACAAAACTTTCTTTAATTTTTTTTTTTTAATATTCAGCATTCATCATGTTTGTCTTCTCACTGTCATCTCATCACACATCGCAGTCTTCAACTTCCTCCTGGGGGAAGAGGAGGGGCAGGCACCGATCTCTTCTCTGTGGTGACCAGTGACAGGACCTGAGGGAATGGCCTGGAATTGTGTCAGGGGAGCTTTAGGTTGGATATTAGAAAAAGGTTCTTCACCCAGAGGGTGGTTGGTCACTGGAACAGGCTCCCCAGAGAAGTGGTCACAGCACCAAGCCTGTCTGAGTTCAAGAAGCATTTGGACAATGCTCTCAGGCACACAGTGTGACTCTTGGGGATGTCCTGTGCAGGGCCAGGAGTTAGACTCGATGATCCTTGCAGGTCCCTTCCAACTCAGCATATTCTGTGATTCTGTGATCTCAATTTTAGCTTTACTAATCCAGGTACCTTTTGGGGCTGAGAACAAAGCTAGGAAGGGAATAACATCAGAATTTTATATATGAGTCTGGGTTTATTGTTGATTGTGTGGGATATAGAAATAAGACTTTTCAATGCAGTTTACTTTAAAAACCACAGTATTTCTTTTTATCATATGGTTTGTTTGTAATTCTTTTCTGAGTTTAGAGATGTTTCATCACACAGCACTTGAGATCAATTGTAGTTGTTTTCCCTTTGCATCAGTATTTGTTTCTGTTAATAGACTTAACACTAATAGCAAAAATATTGAACTATTTCTTAGCCTGTAGTTGCTAAACTGTTTCTTAACCCATTCATCCTCAGCAGTGAGGGTTTAGAGCCAAAGGCTGGGGAAAGCTGTGTTCTCTTAAATGTCATCAGAAAAAAGGACCAGATTATTCCTAAACAGAACACTTCAGCTGTGCTAGGCTTAAAGAAGATCCAGCTGTTCTTTATTTTTGTTGATGTTTTGAAGCCCTGGTACAGTCCAACTCTGTTTTTCTTGATGTATAAATATATATATAACAAGAGTCCGTTAAACTAAATCAATTTACAAATCCTTGATTGCTTTATTTAACAGGGTGGTTTTTTGCTATCTGAAAAATTCTCATCTCTTGAGACATCCATCTGAAAATTATAACTTCTTACCCAACAAAGAAAGCAAAACTGAAACAGTTCTGTTTTTTTTTTCTCTGACTAAGGACATTCTGCCCTTTATGTTATTGCAGCAACATACCACTTCAGTGAATATGCATGTTTTTTGTTACATTTCTTGTGGTTCTTCCTAACCTTCATGGTAGCAACAGCAGATTTGGCGTGTGTTGGCCTAGGGTTGGTTTGTTTTTTTTTTTAAATTGAAAAGAAAACAAGACATCTGTGGAGGAAAAAAAAAAAAGAAGAAAGAGTTGAAATTTGTTAGGGAACAGTTTTAAGCTTTCCATACCCTTTGAAAAGGTACATGCCAAACTTTGACTAGTAAAACTTGTTAATTTTTGTGGGTGATAACTGTACACATCTAAGCTGTTTTAGATATGGCAACAAAATCAGTTTGCTTTAGTGTCACTTCTAAAAGCATTTGCTGAAGTCGTAAGACATGTTACTTAAACATGATGATTGTAATTTTTACAGGTTTCTGTAGCTGCTTCAAGTGCTGGAAGAGGATCTCCAGCTGTAACTCTAGTGCAGTTGCCTTCTGGTCAAACTGTTCATGTCCAGGGTGTCATTCAAGCCACACAGCCCTCAGTCATTCAGTCACCACACATGCAAGCTGTTCAGGTTAGCTCTTTTATTGTTACATTTTCATGAATATTTGGTACTTCATAACTCTTTTCCCAATCCATCTTCAGTTTCTCATCATTCCTACCAGCGCTGCAAGATTTACTCATATGGCGCAGGAAACAGCGGAGGGAAAGGTGGCAAACATCCAACCAGTAGCAGCTCTACAAGCATTGTGTAGCATTTCCTTAACGCTTCCTGTTTATCTTCTAAAAAGTGGTGTCTTGGAACTCTGCACTTACGCAACAGCAAATTTGTGTGATAACATGGCCTCACTCTAGTTGTATCTTGCAGTTTTTCTGTTTTGTTAAATTCTGTGAACATCATGTTTCTAATGAGACTTTGAAGTCATAAATTTTTAAATATCTCATATTTTATTTTTGCAAAGGGTCTGGATGTAATGAAACTACATATACAGTCAAGTGGTTCCTTGTTTTCAGCAGGCCCTGTTGTAGCATCAGGTATTGCTTTTTGTGGATGTGGGAATGTAGAGACCAAAAATACAGGCACCCTCAAAAATAAACATTTATGTGGCAAATGTTCACATGTTTCAAGTTGCTGGTATTAAAAAACAGGGATCAATGCAAAATGTATCAGACTTTTCAGAGCTTTTAAATAGTGAAAAAGACTAGAGAGAGAATGAATTTACAGTGTTTTGAATGTGACTTGGTCTTCCATTGGTGCTTTTCTTGTAAGCTAGGAAGGCCTTTGCTCTATTTTTGTTAAAATCTGATTGAGATGTGTCAACCAAAATGCGTTTTGCAAATAGAATTGATACCTCTGGTAAGAGAGGCGATACACCTGTTATGTGGGAACTGTTTTACCTGTGGTTATTGGCAACACATGGCTTTTCTTTAACATGTTGCAGTCTTCTTGAGAAGCTGTCTTTAATGTTAGAGACTTCTTAGTAACTTTCCAATATAATAACTAAAAAAGCACATGTAGGTATGATGTATATTAGAGAAAAGGAATAAAACCTTGGCCAGATAATGAATACTTTATTTTTGAGCAGTAGGTCTAGATGATGGAACCTTGTAAGGTTTTGGAATTTGAGATCACTATTGAAAGACGTGCAGTAGATGTCAAGAGACTTGGTTTTGGTCAAACATAAAGTCAAATCAGAGTATTCAAAATAATTAATTTTTTTTAATTTAAATTCTTTCTTACTGTAATTTACCGGAGTAACCTTTATTCGATAAGCATATTAGTCATTCTCAGTATAGGCAGGATATACATGCAAAGGTAGAGGACTTTCTTCAAAGCTCAGAAGGAGCAATTTCTCAGGAATGTCTTGCCAGCTGCTGCTGTGTTGTCTTAGGGGAGTGGAAGTCAACTATTTGTTGTATTGAGTGAACTCTGTCTGTCTTTCCTTTCCCAAAGGAGTAGAAACAAGAAACTTTTGTCCCAATTAATACCGACTAGTTAGTTCCAGGTTTTTTTTTGTTTCATTCGAGCTGCTAATGGCAAATGAAATCACTCTGTGAGAAGGGCTTGAAGATGCTGTAAAAGACTCCATTACCGAGGGTGTTCAGCCCTTTTGTGTTCCTGTTCAGTACTTTATCCTGCCATCTGGCATTTCCTCCAGATCATTTGGCTTTAACTTGATATCTTCTGTCTGCCAGACAATGGGGAACTTGGGAAATTATATCACTTTAATAAAAAAAAAAAAGTATACTGAAGGTTGATGCTGAAGCTTGCGTGACCTCTCCCTTAAACACCTGCAGCTCCCAACCGGAAAGTTCAAAATTTTTCTCGTAATGCTGCTGCTTTTTGGGTGAAAAAAAATGCCTATCTGGGTAACGTTCCTTATTGTATTGTTAATGTTTTTTTATTTGTAGGAAGATTTGAAGTTCAGATTGTTATTTGACTTGTTGCTTGCTCCCCCTGTAGTGTATTATTAGGTCTTGGCAGACTAACGCGAGTTTGAAGTTAGATTTGTTCCAATGCAGATAAAGTTGAAGTAGGTAAAGTTGTAGTCTGAACGATGTCCAGGAAAAAATGACAATGCTTTCTGTTTGTTAACATCATGGATATGGTTGCTTGCTATTAGAATGATCTGAAATGTTAGTTTCTGTCTTTGTCATGATGAAAAGTAAAACTTCTGAAATTTTTTGCAGAAAATGTCCTCTTCCACATTAAAATTCTTAAATCATCTTGTGATTTCCTTACCTTCTTCCCAAAGTATGACTGTTCCCAGCTTCTTCAGCCATCTTCAGAAACTAGGGGGGGCTATCGATAACCCTTAATCTAATGTGAAAGTTGAAGGCAACTAAGGTCTTGTTTTCCTGCTGTTTGTACTGGAGCAAATAGATATTTATTACCCTCCACTCCCTAGCAGAATGAAAATTCTGTTTTGAGTTAGGATGCCCAAGCTCTTGGCTGTGCAATACTGTCTTAATTTTGAAGGATCACTGAAGGCACACTGGGAGGGAAATGCCTTTCAGGACCTCTCTCTACCTCTCAGTATTGGTCCATCCTGCAAAAGGAGGAACACAGACTTCTTGAAGCACCTGTATCTCTGCCACTGAGCTCTGATGTCTGTTTTGGAGCTGAACATCTGTACACATGCAGAAGTACCTCTCACCTTCTAGGTGGCAGAGAGGCAGACATAGAGTGATCTGATGTTGTTTGCTGCATATTAACCAGCAAAATGAGGCTGCAACAAATATTTTTACACGGAATTCGAATGTAATAAAAATAACAAGTGAAGGGACAATTCTGCAATTTTATTCTGCAATAATCTGTAGTTCCTTCAAGGTGTAGTTCTGTAGGTTTGAGTTGAGGTGACCCAGGCCTATAAATTTCCAGAACCTTCCAGACACTCATTTTCTGTTGAGGTCAAGCGGATTTTCTTTCTAGCATTGAACACTGAAGCCTGACAGATGCATTAATTCTAGAACTATTCCTTGACTTCCCTGAGCAACCTCTGCTCCCAGGTCAAACACCTGAGCCGTCCAGTCATTTACATCATGTTTGTTCAGTGCTTAAGGCAGTGCTTGGTCTGAAACTGCAGTTTGGTCTGTCTTTATGTGAAAAGATTTTTTATCGCAATGTTTCAGTTTGGAAATCTTAACACACGAATAGTTCTGAGTAGTTAAATGAATCCAAGAAAATGGTGTGTTTTCCTTGTTCAATAATGACTTTCAATTCTGTGTAATAATATAGTTAGTGGTCAAGAATGTGATTCAGCCACAGGCCTTAATGTTGTCCTGGGTAATTTTAAGAGAAGAAGATGATGTGATAATACTAATGCTAAAAGTCTGAGAAAATGTGGACTTGTCAGGTGTTTCTAAAACTCACACAACATTGCTAAGCAATGTCTTTGTATTTATGCATATGTGTTAGTAAGTGTAATAAATGTGTACATTTAAATAAAATTATTTTCTAAATAGCTTTGTTGTGTGGAGAGACTTTTATATTGTATACTATTCTTTAAGGCACATTAGTGAAGTATTTTGTGTTTTACATGTTTAACTTCACTTTAAAAGCTAATCAAATTGTATAATATTGTTATATTTAAAGAAGTCTATCTTCAATACTTTTTGTAAGTGTCAGCCACAAAAAAAGTAACCTGGATTACTCTGACTTTTTTCTTTTTCAAATGGAAGATGTCAACCAAGTGGCTATGTCTGTCTAACCTCATAATTTGTTCTTTGCTTTGGAAAAAAAAGTCTGAAATCTCATGATTAGTGATAAATAAGTGCATAAATTTCCTATATGCAAACATGGAAGGAATTTTTAAAAATAGCATTTTTCTCTGTTGCTGTCTTTTTTTTTAATGAAGTTATGAATTTCAGGAACTTTGCTATTACAGGTAGCATCGATTGCAGATGAAGCTGCAGTATCAGAAGTGATAATTGATTCCCAAAAACGTAGGGAAATACTTTCAAGAAGGCCTTCATACCGGTAAGGACTTTTTATTTTGGTTTGCTGGTTTTAAAGGCAGCTTATGTATTACAGCAAAACTGTCTGATAAAAGCCAGTTATTTAGTTTTCTTATGGATATGGATTTTCAAATACATAAAATTACTTACATTCTTTTTTAGAAAAATTTTGAATGAACTCTCATCAGATGCTCCTGCAGTAGCAAAGATTGAAGAAGAAGAGAAGTCAGAAGATGAAGGAACTCCTTCTGGTATTTCTGCCATGGCCATGCCAACCAGCCTGTATCATACTAACACAGGGCAATACCGTATGTTTGCACATGTACTATGTGATGTTGCAGAACATACATAGCACAGATTTCTTTGTAAGAGTTTCATAATAAAATAGGGATGTTGGATTTTGATGAAAAAGAATAAGAGCTTCTGTATTTCTAAATAATTTCAATTATATTTAATTTTTCCTAACATGGTCATTATAGACTTTCAGTCTGTTTCTTGTAATGTTTGTTAGTTGCTAGATTTAGTTCTTCTAGAATTTCTGTGCATTAAAATGTGGAGGTGAAACTCAGGTGAAATGAAAAACATTGACACTTTTATATGAATGTTCAGTGTTTTAAATCATTGCAGTTTCAAACTCCTGTGATTTGCTATGTATTAGTGCTATTATATGAAATGACATTAGAATTTTTGAATTGTAAAGTTGGAGTATTAAATTATTTGTTAACTTTCAATTTTTGTTCTTAAATGAACTATGTCTCCAGTTGTCAAGTATGAACACTTAAACTGTAGAACTAACCTAAATTGTGATTCCCAACATTTGATACTTCATCCAAATGCAAGTTAAAAGTTAGATTCACAGTTCTGTTCTATAGATTTGGTTTTGGATATTTTTATTCCTGTATTTATGGTAAAAGTGTTGCTTAACTTGCTCTCTATGGCTTCTTTGGACTTAATCAGATATTGTCTAAGGGTTAACTTTATAATAACTGTTTTTCAAATATGTGTTTGTTAAAGCTTCACTCCTACCGTTCGTAGGGTTTTTTCATGTCTTTTCATAAGTAGACACACTAAAGTGCAGGTATTTTTCCTTTGATATAATGACAGGAAGATTGCATAAGAAGTGGTTTGGGGTTTTTTTCCTGAAACGAGAAAACAGAGGAAGTCTATAGAAACATTGCAGTGGCATATAAAAGAGGATAGAATGGCTCTCCAATTGCATTCTAGTCACCCTTAGAGTTCTTCAGTTATTTTTAATTTATGCAACTAATTATTAACTCTGAGAAGGCAAAATTTGCCTATAATATTATTTATCCTTTCAGCATAAAAAGTAATTTTGCTTGTGCTCCTAGGGTGCTTTTCTTTCCCTTTCTGTAAGCTATAGACATAGATAAATGTTTGCTGTGTGATGTGGAGCATCTGAAGTGTTCTTTTCTGTGTACTAATGGTCATGCTAAATTACAGTTATCTAGTACACAATCTGGCAGGTATTTATGACCAAATGAAATTATTTTCTTAAATTTTTTAATATTATTTTTTGTTTTGCTTAGGTTTACTTTAAAAAATACATATATATTTGCCATTTCAAGGCTTAAAAAGAAATGCTAGACTATCACAATGATCTCGTGAGCCTGAAAACCTTTAGGATTCTAAGAAATTTGAGAGTTTACGTTTTTTAATCATAGTTTCCTCTAGGAAACCAGAGTTGTACTTTGACTTGCAATGACTTGCAGCAAGTAATTCTTAGTAGAGTATATTTTCATTTGAACACAGCCATAAACCATAGGAAAAGGGAAGTGAATAACAAGATTCACAGTTTTTGCTTTCTTTTTCAATCAGATATTTACTTGTGAAAATTAAGCAACAGAGAGGCAACACCAACAATGTGCTTGAACAACAGAATCCACAAAGATTTAATTAAATTTCATTTCTCCTAACTTAAACTTGGCTATAAGCCAAGCTTGGAAGATTTCTGGGATTTTGATACTTTTTCTTTTGAGTGAGTTATGGTTGTAGCCTAAAACATGTGCTGTATATTTAAGGTTCTCATCATAATGAGGCATTGCTTCAGGATGCAAAGTCAGCCTTCATGGACTGTCTTGTTTCTGGCTCCAAAATTTTGTTTTGAGAGCTTTGTCTTCCTGGAAATGGTTTTTCTGACCCAATTTATTTGTTTATTAATTTAATTTTTTTTTTTAAGTTCAGCTTTGTAAATTAAACTATCACTCACCTTTTGCTTCAGTGAAGTCTGTGTGTTCTAATTCTGTTTAGAAAAAATTGGTACCAGGTGTTAGCAAGGATAGTCATTTCCCTGTAGTAGAGCATGTCCTAATTTGGAATTTGCCAAGGAACTTAACTGTTGACTTCTAGTCCTTACATGTATAAAGCACAGATCTGGAGCATTTCTGAGCTGTCCTGTTGGCTGCCTGTGATTCTCAGGAACTGCTGTTAGCTAGAACCAGGAACACTGTCTGGGAATGCAGCAACTTGTGTGTTGATTTTTAAACTGGATATTATGCAGGTCACCACACATATCTACTTTATCTTTACATCTCCTGTCAATAGCTCTTTACTGCTGCCTGTCATTATTATGCCTGAGCACTCCTCTCTTCCTGGCCAGCATTGTTTGCACAGGTTGTCCTGTGCAGGCACCCAGCAGTTTATGCATTAAGCTTGTACAGTGTCCATGGCAATGAAGAACTGGTCTTGCAGTGTCACTGCGGCCATCTGTGGTGTGCCCTGGTTGAAAAGAGATGTCATATGTTATTGCATTTGCTGGTTCTTTTTTCTCTACTGTTCTCTCTATTCCTGCATTCAGGAAAGGCAGTTTAGTTGAAAAGATCATTTTGACTGTATGTTGGTGTCTGGATGTCTGGGATAACTATTTTTGGAATAACTTGATAAGTAAATTTTTCTGGAAAACAAATGCATTTTTTTCTATTAGCAGCAGCGATGGCTGTTCTCCACTTTTTAGCAGCCAAAATGGTATGTTGCCATGGTTTCCAAATATCTTTTTCCTCAGAGCTTCTTGGCTTTGGCTTATGGAAGCAGACAAACTGACAGGCATGACCAGATAAAATGTCTTTGCCAGTTACCTCCATCAACATATGTGTTATCTTTCTGTCAGGGGAATGAGTGGTTTTGCACAAGGCACTGCCTTGTGTAGGAGCCTTGTAGCCTCGTTTGACTGTGAACCTACTCTGTTGACTGTAGTTCTGTCATGTTGGTTATTTCATACTGAAAAAAACCCAGTTTCTTCCTCACCTATGGTGGTGGTCTAATGTGCAAGAATTGTTTGTTCAGTTGGAGTGTGTGAATCAACCTCCCCACCTCCCTGCCTACTTGTGCATATCATGATGATCTGCCTGAAGAGATGCAGGGGAAATGAAAATCATTAGTTCTTTTGCCATCTGTTTGGGTTGCTTGCTGTCTTAGGGCAGCTTTTTAACAATTGGAGAATTAAGAAGTCTTTTGGGAAAGACCAACTTTAGTTCCTTTTCCTGTTTTGGGAAGGAGGGAAAGATCTGATTTTTTTCTGGTTTAGAGCAGTTTATTGTAGTCAGAGAGTGGTATTAGTATTGTCTTCAGTCTTGGCTAGAAGATGCTACTTGTACCCATCCACCTCCAGGGACTGTCCAGGAAAGTCCTATGGTCTTCAGAGAAAGCCCAGTTTTCAGTAGAGCTCCAGCACAACCAAGTGTGTGCAGAGGGTGAGATCAGGACAGTGAATGGGGGGATGGGCAGTGTTTTGTTCTGGGAATATGGCAGGGATCAGTCCTGTAGGGGAGGCAATTACTAGAGTTAATTCACTCTTGTTTAGAAAGTCCTGGATTGTGATCTGAATGAATAATTGCAGTACAGATGTGACATAATTGTTTACCCAGAATCACTGTGGAGCCAAGAGCATTGTATCATTCTGTGCTGATGTTTTACTGCTCAGGAAGCCAAAGTAACTATGTTTTATGTGGTATGGTTCTGTGATGGTGTAGACATACCATTTTTGGTGCTAACTCTTAAGAGGCAGAATTTGGCTCTGTATAACTTCTCTGGGAGGTAGAGTTAACAAATCCTGCTGCTCTTGTCCTGGACCTCTTGAAGAACAGAGAATACAACAATTTACTTCTCTTGCTTCTCTCTCTTTCACCCTACCCCAAAATGGGGCACTTTTTGCTTTGGAGGCCAGACCAAAACAACATCTTGCTCTCTTCACCCTGCCACCCTCTTCCACTACTCCTTAATGCCTTAGGGAGCCTGCGTGCAGGACATGTTAGGATGCTCCTACATTGCACGTTCCCCATTCCAAAGGCAGGACTGGAGTTCCATGCTGAACCCTGTTCCAGTATTACAGATAAGGCTCTGAACTTCATTCAGCATGAGAGGAATTCCAGCTTTTGCCCTAAAGAAGCTAATTTAGCGTCTGGGATTTGGCAATCTCTGTGCTGTTTGAAGTGTTTATATCTGAAGTTGCACTTTCAAGGTACTCAATTCTTGTTAAAACAGAACAGTTGAAATCAGCCATCTCCAAAATTCACATAAATCCTGTATTCCGATAAGCAGAGCTGAAGCTTCAAGAATGTAATCAAATACTGTGAATCTGACAGTGAATTCAGAGGAGTTGGCAAGCCTGAATCTGACTTTAATCTGTACTTACGTCTGACTTTTGTAGCACCTCAGATCACAAATACAATCATGATGTTTGTAGTTTAAATATCTTTTAGGGGAGAAAGGAGTTTGTTACTACTTGGGAATTGGGTTCTCAGCTAAAAGTTTCAGGATTGTTTTAATTAACATAAGGTACATGGATTTGGCTGGTGGACCACTTGGTGGATAAGGAATTCACTGGATGGTCACACTTTGACAGAGTAGAGAGGTGGACCTGTGCAAACCTCATGAAGTCCAACAAGGCCATGTGCAGGGTCCTGCATGTGGGTTGGGGCAATCCTAGACATGGATACAGACTGAGCAAAGAGTGGATTGAGAGAAGCTTTGCCACAGAGGACTTTGATGTGCTGATGACTGAAAAACTAGGTATGAGCCAGCCATGGCTCATGTGGAAAACTGGGTATCAGCCAACCATGAGCGCTTGTGGCCCAGAAAGCCAGTCCTGTCCTAGGCTGCATAAAAAGCAGCACAGCCAGCAGGTCAAGAGAGGTGATTCTGCCCCTCTGCTCTGCTAAGACCCCACCTGGAGTGTCGCATCCAGCTCTGGGGTACCCAGCACAAGACAGACACGGTCCTGCTTGAGCAGATCCAGAGGAGGGCCATGGAGGTATCGGGAGCTGGAGGCCTTCCATATAAAGGCAGGCTGAGAGAACTGGGGTTGTTTAGCCTGGAGAAGAGAAGGCTCTAGGGAGACCTTGCAGTGGCCTTCCAGTACTTAGAGGGCCTACAGGAAAGATAGAGAGGGACTCTTTGTCAGGGAGGGTAGTGATAGAATGAGAGGGCAACAGTCTGAAACAGAGAAGATAGATTTAGATTACATACGAGGGTAAAATCTTCACTGTGGGGATGGTGAGGCACTGGAACAGGTTACTCAGAGAAGCTGTGGATGACCCACCCCTGTAAATGTTCAAGGCCAGGTTGGATGGGGCTCTGAGCAACCTGGTCTAGTGGAAGGTGCTTCTGCCCATGGCAGGGGAGTTGGAACCAGATGATCTTGAAGGTCCCTTCTGACTCAAACCATTCTATGATATTTCTGTGTTTAAGAAAGGCAATACTAATTTAAGAAGGAATATACAATTAACAATGTCTCTAGGGAATTGCATTTTTTCTAAATATTTGATTATGGCAAGGAATACAATATGATCTTTTAATGAGGAAAGTATATTTGTATTTTTCATATTGCTGATTACATGGATGGAAAAATCCCACTTTGTTCTATTTCTCTTCTTACAAAAATATTGGACTCTTTACAACTTTGTACAACTTGGATAAATATTGTTAGGCTAAACTTTCTCTTGCAGTAAGGAAAGGATTGTGAGTGTCAGAAGACTTTCTCTTTCTTTGCCTAGATGTCCTGGGTTTTGTTTTGTGGGAGGCAGTAAACATAGCTTTTATTTTTATTTTTTTTAAATAACTTCTACATTTGTGTTTAGAACAACAATGATTCTATATGGCTAGGAGCTACTATTTTTTACAATTATATTAACACTATTCTAGGAGAGTTCATATTTCGGGAAATAGATAAAATATGTTGAACATGGCTTTTTGTCTGTTATTCATGTGGCATATACTACAAAGCAGGCTTTATATTTGTGGAAATCAGTATTAACATTATCTAAGTTTTATTGTACACTTGATCTTTAAGCAAGGAGAGGACCAGGAGTCCTATCAGACAATGTTTATTTCAAAAAGGGAATTTTGCTTTTTGGCATATGTTATCTCTTCCTATTGCCTAACTTATCTTTTTCTTTTCTGTTTAGTTACTATATCTCAAGGTGGTACAATCCAGACAGTGACAAATTCAGGAGCTCCTCAACCAGGTGCTACCATTGTGCAATATGCAGGACAGTCATCTGATGGCACACAACAGTTTTTTGTTCCTGGAAGCCAAGTTGTTGTTCAAGGTATGTTTTATTAGTCCAATGCATTATAATTTTTTCATATTAAACAATTTTTCTTAAAAGGTTTTTTATTGTGTTGACATTATTGCACTATTAAATACAATACTTACGGATAGCGAGATGAAAGATAGTCTTAGGAGGGGACTCAGGTTCTGTGCTCAGCAAGGCAGTGACTACTTTTGATTAAAAGAAGGAAATAACAATATAAAATCACTTTCTGCTTAGAATTCTCTTTGAATTCTCTTGTCCAGATTTTTGAGACATATATTTAATAGGAGTACAGGTGCTGTTACAGATTGAAGTGAGATGCTGAAGGTGCACCTCATTTAATATATTAAACTAAATTATTTTTTTCAGCAGTTAATCTTATTAAAACACAAATTTTGAAGTTCTTTGGATATGTTTAGTGCAGAATTTTCTTGCAACTTATGACTCTTGTTGTTATTAGAGTGCAGATCCTTAACTGAAGCTAGTTTTCTCACAGAAGAGCACTTTGAAGATCCTATAAAATGCACACATGAACTGAACTGTGAATAATGAATTCTTGAGACTTACTGTATTTTGTGCATAATGTTTTTCCTTCCACTGTTCTCAGCCTTTTGGTAATGCTGAGGGAGCTGGAGAACCAGGTGTCTTGGATTCTTATCATTATCAGAGGAAATTGGGTAATGCTGATGAAAACCTTTGAAAATGGGGAAGAGATTTCTCTGTGGAGTCACTAAATTAGTAGCTATGGAGGATATAGGGGATTTTTAAAAATTTTTATTTTATTGACACACAGAAGTAGGAAGGGAGGGCTGTATGAATGCTCTCATAAGCCAAAACAGCTATCTGAAATAAGCTATGAGAAGAGCTAGAAAGGTGTTAAATATGTATTCATGGAGTGGATGAAAGTCATCAAATAAGTGTAGGCACAGACATCTGAGGTAGTTCATGAAGTCCAGGTTGAGGTGCTTTATTTTACCTGCTGTAGATGTTTGAAATAAGTTCTGTCTTTAGGTGGCTGTTTCTTTTCCTTTGCTGTAAAGGTAGCCAAGAGTCTTAATAAAAATAATAGCTTGTAGATATCTGCCTTTGTTGACACAATGCGAAATAGCAGTACGAAATTTGAGTTCTTCCATTGCCTCTGGTTAATTCTTTGCTGTAATACATTGTTGTCCCAAGACTTCTCAGAAGCATTTCAGGAAAGTTTTAAGACTATAATGTGAAAACCCCTTAGCCAAATGTTAGTTTTTATTGTGCAGAGAGTACTGTTATAACATCCCTAAATGTTATTATGAATACATTCTTAGCAAAGCCTTAAGACCCAAATTTGGCTGTCCCACAACCAAATTTCTCACTCTGATAGTACATGTTTTCTGAGTATCTTCTATGCATGTGCCTACACATCCCTTAAATCAGAGGCTTCTCCATCTCTCCAGGTTGACTGTAGTGTTTTATAGGTATTGCTTTGATTCTTCAGAACTTTGGGGTCAGGGCAGAGAGAGTAACTCCTCACCTATTTCCAAAAACTTCCCAAGTCTGTGAAGAGACACAGAATTTAAGGATTCTATCTGGCAGCATTTCAGTCCTTGGGACTTTCATTTGACCAACCTTCCTTTACAGACTCTCGGTTACAGAGTAGTCCTTTGATGGGGCTGCTCAGTCTCAGTGATGGGCCTGACAAGCTGGAATAGCTCATGAAATGTCTTGCCTGGGATGGAAACACTCACAATGGATTGAGAGACAGTTACTAAATACCTGCCATATCATGTCTCTGGAAGCTTCTAGATACCTTTAATGACGTTGAATTGTTCTCTGTCCATGGTCAGAGAAGTTGACTTCCTGGAATTCTCTGTTCCTTTGGTTCAAAGTCCGGTGCTTTAGTGAGGCTCGTAGCTGTTGACACAGAAGAAAAGTTCTACATATATATACAGAGAAAAGTACAAACCAAACAATAAGTGAGCATGACCTTGAATATGACGAGAAGATAAAAGGCTTGAAGTTACTATACATGCTATTGATGTTGGAAAATATTAAAAATAATAAATATTTAGTAAAAAAAAGGTATGTAAAAAGAGTGTGAAAGCACCTGAGGATGTTTACAGTGATACACTTGTATATAGTCAACAAACCTGAGTTATTCAGGATGGAGCGAGACAATGGAATTAGGCGAATATACAGGTGTCTGAAATGTCCTTAGTACAGGTTATCTTGCCTTGCTAGACAGTCTGTAAGAATATAGTTATGAATATTTGTCATTTATGTACACTTTGTAGTTGAATGGTCACCTTATATTGTGATAGCACAGATTATAATAGGAAAAAACATTCTGCTTAGTATCTGTCCACTTATATATATATGGTAATAATTTATAATGATTTTGGATAGGTAGCACATAAATTTTTTTGTAATAATCATAGAAGTAAAGGAATAAAAAATATGACAAATATCAGTCCCAGGGCAGAAAAGATCTGTTTCAGAATCTTTCAGATAACATATGTATTGATATTTTTTTCTAAAGTATTTGTTGATGAATCTCATGTAATAATGGATTACGTAAACACTGTACTTGATATTTTCTGATAACCTCTGGTGGGAAAAAATATTAGGAGCAAGGTGCCAAAGGTGTTGATCCAACTGAGTGACACTGCATTTGCTACAAGTTTACATTTGTAGGCAAAATAAGAGGTATGTCTAATGTCTGGACAGTTTCTTAATACAGGTTAAGGGTTTTTTTGCTAGCTTAAGAAGAAGAAAGTGTTTGATTATTAGTGACAAATGAACGTAGAAAAGTTGTATAAAAATCATTCTGTTGGGATCTATGTGTATTTTCATTATATGGTCAGTGATGTTTGAGATCTGTGGCTTGAATTTCTTGTGTGCTTCAGTTCTGATCTTCTGTTCATATGATCCTGAAGTGGTCCTGTAATCACTGAATGTTCCTTTTTTACATTGATGCTTCCACTGTTGCCATCCAGCTTAGTTTCATAGTTGATGAATTACCAGTCTGAATTTATTTATTACAGACAAGGACCTTAGAAATTTGCCATGCCCTACATGCAGACCAGTTGGTCTGAAACTTATTTAAATTGATATAAGTAAGGAGTAGCTCTGTTAGAGCTGATTTTTTTTTTTTAATTTATTTTTTAAAATTAAGTCAACCAGATCTCTTGGACATATTTTGAAAAGGCAGGGAGGGGGGAATAGATAGCCCTTACCCAGAGTTATTGTTCTGCCTGAAATTACTAACATTAGGTTGACTTACTTTGTTGGAGCATTGTTTAATCTTTTCTGAAGCTTTTAACTGAAATTGAGTGGGTTGTTGATAGCCTCACAAAGAAAGGAGCTCTAGCCTTTCATTTACCTATTTGTTATAGCTTATTAGCTTTCCTGTCTCGCATGTCTGACCAACAGAGTTCTCTGCCTTTTAGTGGAACTGCTCCAATCAAAACAGTTGCATGTCTGTTTAAAATTTCCTTATTTTCTATTCAGTCATTGCTTTATCATTTCAATTCATTCATGAGTGCTAGAGCCACATTTTAATTTCTGTCAGATAGTGCTGTGAATTTTCAGCCTGTACTTTACAGCTAGTTTTGTGGTGAGTGCTTTCTGTAGCTTTATGAATAATTCAGGGAAAAAGAACAAAGCTAGGATTATAAAAATATGGAAGAGGAAAAAAAACAAAACAGGTTTACTGGAAAAGGAATTCTTTGGGCTGCAGTTTCAGTGAGCTGTTCCAGTGAGAGAGCATATTAATGACAGTGGTAAGCAAGTGAGGTCACTGTGATGTCAGTGCTCTTGCTTGTAATCCTGCACATGCTTGCTAGTTTGGAACAGTTCATGCTGGGCTCTGGTAGAGGAGCAGGAGAGTTGTGTGTGCAGGAGCTGATCATGGCTGTAACAGGAGATGAAACAGGTAAAAATTTTGTTCACCTTTTACATGATATTTTTCTATGTCTAAGCAGATTTAGTTAGTATTTGTGACATTTTCTTTTGAACCTGTTGCTGTAATTCTTTCATCTCTCAAAACTCATACAAATAGCTTCTATCTAGTTAGTGTAGGGCTTCAGGGCAATTTTTATGGTTTCAATTGGAAAAAAAAACACCAAAAAATCACTGTTAGTGCATGAGTTCTTGCAGAGATTAGTTCAGATAAATAATCTTTACTACTTGATGCAGAATTTTGCTGAAAAAAAGCCACCAGTCTTCTTTTGCATTTTTCTTTATTGTGGAGATAGTCATATATGCTACTATGTTTATAGTTGCTTTTTGTTTTGTAAAAATGATGCTGCCTTTTTTTTTTTGTTTAGCAATAAACACTACAGATTTGATAGCTGTGGGCTTAAGCTTAGCTGTAAAGAAAAGGTGTGCATTGTTTCAGCAGTGTAAATAAACCCTGTGCTCTCATCATTAAAAAAATACTGAATGTAAATAAATTTGAGAGCAATAATTCTGAGTATTGTAACGCCTGCTTGTTTTCTCCTCCACTGTTAAAATGGTCTGTTCCTCAGCTAATTGAGTTCAAAAGGCTGACGTCATTAGATTTCCTGGAATCGTGTTGCAGTAGGGAGCTGGAAAAGTTAAACTCCAAACAAGATACACATTGACGTCAGCTCCAAGTCATGCTGCGATTTAGTCAGTTCCTTTCTGCTTCGTCAATTGCCTCCGGCAGCTCGGCAGCTTTAACCCCTTCGCAGCCGGCACAGGCTCCTACGTGCTGCTGCTCGGTGCTGGCACACATTGTTTGATTAACCGGAAGATAAGTATCTTCTCCGAGTCGGTGTTTTTAATGCTCAAAGGGGTAATGATTCAAGCCCTGTGTAGCCAGTTTAGCGGTTAAAACCCCTTTGATAATCAAGTCCCACCATTATGACTCACAGAAGGGGAGAACAGACATAAAAATACATCAGGGTTTTTTTTCTCCTGGATAGTCACTGAAAGAACTGTGGGAATGCTCTCTAGTGTTCAGCAAGCTACTTTTTCCAAGAAGGTGTTGCTTTTAAATTTTTTTTTTAATTGTCAGAGCTTAATTTACAAGGTTCGTTGTGCTCTTCTGAATGTGGTCTGGTTTTTTTAGTAGTTGTTTTTCGTCTGTTTCTCTTCTTGTTAATAATTTTTCTTTTTGTAAGTCTCAGCTGAAAGCTTCAGATTTTCAGTGACTTTTTACTCCCTTGCAATTTTAAGGAGTTGAAAAAAAAACCAACAAACTTGACCTGGGGCAGTGTGTTAGGGAACTGTGCCAACTGAAGGTTTGTTGCTTTGTTAATAATCTCGGTCCTACCTGTGGTGCCTTAGGAATTACTTTAAACCTTTGTGACGTTTATTAGAAATGGCCACAGAGGTTTGTCAGTCTGGAGTAAGGTGTGTGGGATATTTGTCTCAGATGCCAGAATGAGTGCTTCTCTGTCATATAGACACATTACTAGATTTAAAATACCCTTGGTAAAATAGTTTATTCCCCCTGCTTGAAGCCCATTTCACTTTTCCCAAGGTATTTTTCTGGGGAACGCAGTGACACTAACTTTTTGAGATACTATACAAAACACTTTGCAGTCTTTGAAAGTACTGATTTGCAGTGATGTATCACAAAGCACATATTACTGCTCAGCTAAAAGATATTCTGTCAATGCTATGCTTTTTCCTTTTTTTTTAAAGACAGTGATGTCTGGGTTTGCAAGGTCTGTACCACCAGAATGGTTATTTATCTGTGTTATTGTGCTGGCAGGTTTATAAGTGAGACAACTGTTAGGCAGGGACAGCCACTACCGGGACCTGTTGTTACTTACAGTGGTGTTTGCTGATCCCAGCTGAGATAGGGAATCACTTTTGTTAAGCCTTGCTGCAGGTACATGATCACACTGAGTCCTCTTCACAACAGCAGCAGTAAGCCCTATTCACTGCCATCTGAGTGTAAATCAAACAAAGACAACAAAGGAGTTGGTCTTGCCAGGCTGAGGTGACCTGGGTTATGGGGCTTTCCCCATGACTTGGTCGACAAAATGGCTTGCTTGGATTTCTAATTCATTATAGCTAATACAAACTAAGACAACATCTCTTTTATGCCTAGTGATGAAGTAGAAAAAAGGTAGTTCTTAACATAGAGTCTATAAAATGTATGTAATGTGGCCAGCATAAAGGTGAGCCTAAAGAGTTACTAACATTCCATTTTTATAAATAGTGAGCTGAAGTATCGTTCCATTGACATGACTGTGGAGAACTTAAAGAAAGGCTTCAGTAATTCCCCTGTAGATGTACAAGACAACCAAGCCCTGTGTTCATGGCAGCTGCCTGTCAGTGCTCACAGGGCTGTTCTGAGCCGATTTCTCCCTCCCTCCCTCCCTCCATCCCCAGGGGATTATCCAGGTCAGTTCACTGGTCCAGTTCATCTTGTAATTCCACAAACACTTTTACCCGAAGGATGGAGAGCTGGGGGAGGTGCAAGGGGTTTAAGCTGATAATGATTTTAGGACATGGCTGTGGAATTGTGGTCTAAACACAACTTCATCCTGTTTTTTTTATTTAATTAGTGAAGCATCTGCATTAATATAATAAGAATAATAGTATATTTTTATTAAGTTTAGTTTTTCCCCCTGTAGTTGATGTTTCTTTATTTCTGTACTTGTCAGCTTCCCCAAAATATTTGTGTCTACATTTTATTTTTCCAAGTTGTCCTAGTTTCAGCTGGGATAGAGTTAATTTTCTTCCTGGTAGCTGGTACTGTGCTGTGTTTTGTATTTAGGATGAGAATGATGTTGAGAGCACACCGATGTTTTAGTTGTTGCTGAGTAGTGCTTGCTCTAAGTCAAAGACTTTCCAGCTTCCCATGCTTTGCCAGCAAGTAGGCTGGGGGTGCACAAGAAGCTGGGAGAGATCACAGCCAGGACAGATGACCCCAACTAGCCAAAGGGGTATTCCATACCATAAGGCATCATGCTCAGCACATAAACTGTAGGAAAAGCTGGCCAGGGACTGCTGCTTGGCAACAGTCAGGGCATCAGTGAGTGGTGAGCAATTGCTTTTCATTTGCATCACTTGTTTTTCTTGGGTTTTATTTCTCTTTCTTTTAGTTATTATCCTTTCTTTACATTTATTATTATTTTATTTCCATTATTAAATTGTTCCCATCTCAACCTATGAGTTTTGTTACCCCATCCCATCAGAGGGGGGGTGGTGGGTGGGGTGAGTGAGTGGTTGTGCTTAGTTGCAGGCTGGGGTTAAACCATGACACACAAGTTTTTCCATTATTTGAATATTGCTTTGAAGAATTAAAGTATAAATTAAGTGTAACATAATAGCCTCTGAAATGTCATCTTTTATGTTCTGCTGTTTTAATGAGAAAATTTGAAGTTCTGTTCTGTAATAATATAAAATATTTATAAAGAGGAACAGATAAGTACTTGCTTAGAATTTGAAGAGGGATACATTTTTTGTTTGGTTCTTTTTTCTACGTCAGACAAGTCACAAGTGCTTAGGACTTTCACAGTGTTTTAAAGTTGAAGTACATCAAGTAGGAACAAAGTACACCAGAAATACAGAAATTAAATGAGACTATCAGAAAGGTATCAGTTTCAAGTAATGTGTCAAATCAGCATTTAGCTTGGGGAGAGCTCAAAACTGGTAGGCTCAGGAGATGAATCTGAACTTTTGCCCTCTGACTTACTGTACAGATACACCTCTTCCTGTGCAACCACTGCCACCTCCTCTTGCTAATGCCACAGCATCCTATCTGTGGTCATCATGCTCCTGTCCTCATGAGCGCCTGTCTGCTCCTGTTCATTGTAGCAACAGCAGCTCTCACTGATTTTCCAAGGGTTGCCAAACTGCCGTAGTAAGAGGAAGAGGGAACGTAAGGCTGGTACTGTGGCTATCACAAGGAAGGAGGAGAAAGTTGTTGACTCCTGAAATCTGTTAGAGAACAGGGTAGCATATAAACCTCGGTGGCTGCAACAGCAGGGCCATCTTTTTGTGGGATTGTGCAAACAGGAAATAAGTGTGGATGCTTAAACTGTTTCTCAAACAGCTTTCCCCATGTTGTCTGAAGAGAGCCATGTGGAAGCTTTCACAGGCTTCAGTCTGGCTGGCTAGTGGGGCCACATGCTAGAGCAATTTAAATATTTTACAGTGTGGAAATAAGCATTATTAAGGTAAAAAATATATTTGTGACATTACAGACCTGTGAAATATTCTGTGGATCAGGGATCCCAGATAACTCATTGACAGAAATATGTTATTTTCAGAGAGAAAACACATGCATAGTTATTTTTTGCCATAAAATTTAAAATATGTTTCTTTTATACAGCTGCCACTGGAGACATGCCAGCTTACCAGATTCGAACTCCCACTACTACCTTACCTCAGGGAGTGGTCATGGCAGCCTCACCAGGGACTTTGCATAGTCCTCAGCAAATGGCAGAAGAGGCAACACGCAAGAGAGAGCTGAGACTCTTGAAAAATAGGTAAGACTATACAACAATTCATAATCAGGTTCAAAAAACCTCCCAAAACGTTCTAATGAAATTTTCTTCATAGGGTCATGAGCACTGCTTGTAATTGATGAAGGGACGGCAGGAAATTCTTTGTCAGTCATCCCACATCCTTACAGCATAGAGTATTGGCTGTTGACTCTGCAAAGCTAGAGTTGACTGTATCCCGATAGATTTTTAGTTTGAAAATAGTATGGTAATGCAGAAATAAGTATCAGATAATTTTTGTGATGATCTGGAGTTATGCTTTTGAATTTTAATTCTCCTCCTCCCTACTTCTGACAGTAAAATGAACAGGATGGGCTTTTTCGTTTTGAAACATCCCAGGAAAGAATTAGCTAGGAAAATATCTGAGGACCTCATTAGCAGCTGTCCATTAATGATGCTATGAAGAGGACTTATTCTAGGATGGAATGATAATTATAGACTTTCCTAAATACTTGACTACTGGGATAAGTTACTTTGCAGTGCCCCTGTCATTTTGTGAGGCGTATTGTGTGAGGTGGCTGTATATTTTTTAATTAGTTGGCATGGACTTGACTGAATGTTTTAAATATCAGTCTTTCTCTGTGCATTCTTCTTTCTATTCTTAAGGGAGTCTGTCTCTTTTTAAATGTGTAGCCATCTCTATCATTGGCAGATTAGTAGAAGAAATATTCTGCTGTGCAGATCTCTAATACACTGACTAACCACTTGCCTTATGATCAAATTAATGGTATTGCTTTGCTCTCATGCCTGTCCTTTATTTTAAATTACTCATGAGAATCACTGCATTGTTGTGCTTCCTTTTGTATCTCCTCTCTTCAGTTTTAAAACTAGTGCCTATGCTATAGCTCATAACTTGCTGAAACATTACTCTCATGGTTTGAGAGTTTATCATGTTCCAAGGTGGTAAAGGAGTGGACTCCCAGTACTTCTAATATTTCTTCTGAAATTGAATGCTTATTTAGTCACATGCTCTGAAAACACTATTTAAAGTGTTTAGCTTCAATATAACAGAGTTCTGAGCAGAACTATGAGAATGGATCAGGCTATCATATGCCACCAACAAAAAATACAGACCCATGTGAATGTGCTCAGATGGCCAGTTCTAAAATGCTAATCGATTATATTTGTTTGGGCTTAAATTTTACTGTATGTTCTTACCTCAAGGTAAAAACTTAGAGCACGTAGTAAGCTTGGCATCTAGCTTTTTATCTGAAGAGAGTAGTGTTATGCTTGTGTTTTCTGAAAGTAAATTCTTTGGGTTTGGTTTTAAGATTTTGATGGCAGAAGATAATGCTCCCAATAAACACACAAAATGGAATGTGACTGGAAGAAGAAATGCTGCTTTCCATCCTAATGTTTAGTACAATTCAAGTCAATATGTTATCATTTACTCACTATTTTTCTCAGTTCTTCTGTGTATTAGTTCCATCTTTGGATTTGGTGATGCTGAATTAGTTTCAAGTTCTAGTTGTTTTGAATTGTATTTTAACTATGTTATTGCTTTTGGCTGTTACCTTATGTTCTGTTTGTGCAATCCAGCAGTTGGTTGTTGTTGTTGTTGTTATTGTGGAACCACAGGGATTGCAGGTAATTGCATTTATCCAGTCTTTGCCATATTGTGGCTGTTCCTGTAGTCATTTGCCTTGTATTGGTTCCAGGGAAGCTGCCAGAGAATGTCGCAGAAAGAAGAAAGAATATGTCAAATGTCTTGAAAATCGTGTGGCTGTGCTTGAAAACCAAAACAAGACTCTCATTGAGGAACTCAAGGCCCTCAAAGATCTTTATTGTCATAAAGCAGAATAACTGTCTTTCATTTGGACCTCGTTTATTATGAACTTTAATCAAGGCATGAGAGGAAGCAATTCTACAGATTGCCATATGAACTTGAGAGACACTTGAGGCCCTTGTGGAACCCAGTTTTGCTTAGTGTTTTCAGACTGATTTGGGAGATATTCCAAAATTTGGAATTCTGTCATAGTCTCCATACTCTGCTGAGCTTTCTAATGGCATGCAAATGGCTTTTTTGTTTGCACTTTTTACTTCTGCTTTTTGCAGGGAAGCTGCTAAAGAATGTCGACGTCGGAAGAAAGAATACATAAAATGTCTGGAGAGTCGTGTTGCAGTGCTAGAAGTTCAGAACAAGAAACTTATACAGGAGCTTGAAACCCTAAAAGACATTTGCTCTTCCAAAACAGATTAGTAAAAATATTTATTATACTGTGAACTAAGATATGTCCAGTTGCTTTATAAGACAATACATAGCCAATGTGAATTATGGCTTTCTCTTTGTGTCATTTATATTATATTCCAACTCCTAACATTCCTGAATGCTTTCCTGCTTTTTGTCCATTCATAGCTCTAATTTCAGGTTTTTCATGCTCCTCCCTTCCGTCTCCCAAGGAGCCAAATGTTAAAAAATATAACAGAGTAAAAAAGCGCATAATTTCTAAGAGCTGTTTCTTTGCCATATATTTACATACTACTTTTTACATGTTACTGAGTGTCCTGCACATAGAAAATATTTTACAATTGTTTTAGATGAATTATAAAGATGATGCATCCAGTAATATGAGAAAATCAAACCACCCAAGGTATCTCAGGAAAGAGTTTATAAAAGAATGTTATGATTATATGTATGTATACTAGCATACTAGTCTACAGATGATTTTATGGCATATTTTTATATTAGTTGCTTTGTGGAAAAAAAGTATTGTATTGCTGTCACTGAGTGCCATGGTTAAAGATAGTTTTTAATAGAACCATGTTGTTTAACCTGTGTAGTGTCTGATTTCCTTTAAACACCTGATTGAGCTGCTTTAAAAGCCATGAGTATCTGGAAGAGGACAAAGGAAAAAACCACACCTAAGCTCATGACATGATACTAAGCATATTGTAAATACTTGTAAGAAGCTCTCTGTTATATGGCTGCTATCTAAATTTTCTGTAGTCTGCAGAATATTTGATTTATTAGAGGTCTGTATATCAAAATTTAAATTTGCACCCTGAATACTTCACATTCTTGATTCTGTACACCTGTGGACAGTTGCCTATAGCGAAGACTGATGGTGCAGTTTTTTTCACAATTTCAGCAAACTACTGAGTGATGATAAAGGTGTCTTAAAGAAGGAAGCTTTCCAATAAACAGTAACTATTTGCTGATTCACTGGGTTTTGAAATAGCCCATAGGTGAGAGCTGAAGATCTTTAAAATAAACCCATGTTTAAAGTAGATTACAGCTCTGGTAAATACAGAATGTGCCACTTTCCATTGTGCTTTGAAAGAAAATAGTGCTTATGCAAAGTAGCTTCTGGGTATTTCTTTAATTCAGGAGTGATCTAATTGTTTGTTGGCCAGTACAGTCTGTGAGGAGAGTATTTGGGAGCTTTGCTGGAAGTAATAGCAGCATTGCCTTACTGATGTGGTAGGAAGAAAGGCTTGGTTCCTACTTAATTGGCTTTACTGAGGGGAGTGTGTGTGTGTGGAGGGGAGGAGGGATGGAATCATACTGAAGTCATGGAGACTTCTTAATTTAATTTAAACTGAATTTGCATTTAACCCACTTCACTCTGACCCTGTTGGGGTGGCTTGGTTTGTGTATATCTTTCATTTTTTCTTTTTTACCAAATTACTTGAAATACACAGGATAACTTTCTCGAATCTTTTGAAAGTCCTATTAGGTACGTAAGTGAGACTGTAAGAAGTCTTCTCTCTCACTTCTCGCAGCCACATCAGTTGATTAAGGAGGAAACAAGCTGCCTTTTGACCTCTGGGGCTCTGTTGCAGCTCTGGAACAAAAGTAAAGTAAACTTTGAAATATCCACTTCACTGGAACACTTCCAGGTATGGGATATCCACAGCTTTGCTGGGCAACCTGTTCAGTGCCTCACCACCCTCTGAGTAAAGAATTTATTCCCGACATCTAATGTGAATCTCTCCTCTTCCGGTTTAAAAATCATCCACCCTTGTCCTATCATTGTCTGCCTGTGTACATAGTTGCTTTTCTTCTTTTATATACGCCCTCTTTAAGTACTGAAGGGCCCCAGTGAGGTCTCCCTGGAGCCTTCTTTTCTCCAGGATGAAGAAACCTGGCTATCTCAGCATATTTTCATAGAAGAGATTCTCCAGCCATGTGATTATGTTCGTGGCTCCCCTCCAGACCTGCTCTAACAGGTCCGTGTCTTTCAGGTGCTGAGGACCCCAGAGCTGGATGCAGCACTGCATGTAGGATCTCACAAGGGCAGAGTAGAGGGGCAAAATCCTCTCCCTCCTTGCTGGCCATGCTGGTTTTGATGCATCCCAGGATGGAGTTGGCCTCATGTGCAGCCATTGCACAGCACATTGTTGGGTCATGATCAGCTTTTCATTCATGTCCTTCTCTGCAGCTCCTCACACTTGGACTTGTTGAACATCATGAGGTTCTCATGGGCCCACTTCTCAAGCTTGTCCAGGCTCCCCTGGATGACAACCCATCCTTCTGTTGTGTCAGCTGCACTGCTCAGCTTTGTGTCACCCACAACTGTGCCGAGGGAGCACTTGATCTCACTCTTTATGTCATTGATAAAGATACTAAAGAGCACTGGTCCCAAGGCAGAATCCTGGGGGACACCACTTGTCACAGGCCTTGACCTGGGCATAGAGCCATTGCCCACAACTGTCTGGCTGCATCCATCCAACCAATTCCTTATGCACAGAGTAGTCCACCCTATTTTTAAGACATTTGATTAATGTTTATTTTTTATTTAAATGATTATTTGTTGGAGGGGGTGTTTTGTTAATAATGGAAGCTAAATGCAAATGCTCTTGGCGTATGGTCGTTCTGGAAAATTCCATTTGATCTGTTTATCTGCACCAGGGAGAAATATCCTATTTCAGAGAAGCAACTGCAGAAAAGCTGGCTCATTTAGGCTATGACTAGGAAAAAAGGAAGAGTTTTAATGATGCATTATTCTTTCATTCTCAGTAATTCAGTTCGGTATAACAATTTTGAAAGAATTAGCAACACACATTTCTGTATTTTAAAGTAAGAATGAGCAAATTTGTTGTTGAATAAGAACATTTTAAATCTTCAGTTGGTAAAAGGAGAACCAAGATGTGATGAAGGAAATAACTTATGTCAAAATGGGCAAAGGCAGGTGTGCGCTAATGCCAAGAATCTGCCGTCAGATTACTACTTAAAGGAATAAACCCTGAAAAGTTCTGAATTGGATTGAGAGATGTACACTGAAAACTTTGAGATACTTACTTGAGATTAAATAAAGATTTGAAGGAAAAGTCTGTGTACCACTGGGGTTTGTCAGAGAAATAATACCAAAAAACTTAGGTTCCAAAATACTTCAGTGAAATGGGAATGCTGTAGCCTAGATCTCTGTTCAAGAGGTGTGTCAGAGGATTAAAGCAATAGATAGGATATATGCTAGAATATACAAATTAGTTTAAATTGCAAAGGAAAATAAATCATAAAGTTTTCATTGAATTTGTTTTTTTCTCTTTAAAGTGTCAATTTAGCCCTCTCATGTTTTAGATCAGTTGTGGGACTCAATTTGTTCTACATCAGTGTCCTGAATATTCCTGAATGTGTGCCAGTACTGGAATCCACACGTGCTGTGAACAGGAAGAGAATTTTTCTTTTGACTTACTGTTCATCAAGCTTGCATTTATGCATAAATTCCTGTACTTGCTAGTGCTCCTTTCAAAGGGCAGAATAAGTGGAAATGGTTGGAACTAATTCATTGTTACTTCTTACTCTTCATGGAAGAAATCTGAAAATTGAAACTTAACTGCGGTCTGAATTCAATTGAACTAGGCTTTGGGTTCGATATTCTTTCCAAAGAACTTCCTGACCACAAGATCAAAACCTGCCTTCTGTTTTGTCATGTGTGTGTTGTTAGTTTTAATGCCTTTTACCACAATTTGATACTTTTTCTACATTCTTAGCAACCTCTGGGAGTAGAAACAGTAACTGAAGAGGTGTTCCCTCTTAATTGTCCTACTTGACAGTTGTGTCACTCTGTCACTTGACAAGACTGGAAAGTACCTATTTCCCTAATAAAAATATAGCCCTGAGCTTTGGATACCAATAATTTCCAAAGGAACCTGATTGCAGTTTACATTTGTGAAACAGAATGCTTGATGTGGTGCAGGGAAAAGACCTTTTCAACACATTATTATTATTCTTAATAAAGAAACATTAAATGAATCCAAGTTGGTTTATTACAAGAGAATTTGAGCAGTGCCCAAGCTTGGATTTGTCAGAATCAGGAATTTGTTGTCTTCATTGTCAGAAAAAAAAGGCCAAAATAACTGTGTTTTTTCTTTCTGTAAGAAAATTGCATTCCTATGGTACGAAACTCTTCTCTCTTCCTGAAACCACACAACTGTTTGCAAATTTCTTTACAACTGATAGTTAGAGGATTGGCCTTTACAGGAGGTTGTACTCAAGACTGCATGGATTTTTAATTTTTTTTTATTCCAAATAGATTTTCATGTAGCTTAGCGAGAATGGTCTCTTGAAAAATGTCTTCAGTCTTCTAGAGTTGTGGGTGATGAGGAATGTAATAGTCAGCTTCCTCTTAGGGTATAGCTTTGAGTCATAGCTGTTTCTTAAGCAGACTTACGAAGAGAAATCTCTAGACTATCCAGGCAGATCTCTCTTGACTCCCTAAAACAGCCTCAGCTCTTGTGACCTGGGAAAAAGGGATTAAAATAAGCATATTGTGTGAATAGGTGTGGATTTAGTTTCTTTGAGGGGATTTTTTGATTGTTATTTCCCATAGATTTTGCTGTTTGCAAGAATAATTATTGGATTTATTTTTTTGGTTGCATTGATACAGTCTTAAGGAGTGCAAGTTGTCTCCCATTTGGTTTTCCTTCTGTTCTTATCAAACATAATTGCTAGTCTGTACTGTTATCCTGCAGACATCAGTGTAATAGCTAAATTTAGTGTGATCTTTTTCTGAATGAAGTATCACTTCAGAGAAAACAAAGGGGTCTGCTCAGCTTCTGGTTTGGATTGACTCATTTTGCCCACATTTTTTTCTGTTTAGTGCATGGGTGTGTACATGGCAAGCCTGCAGTGAATGCTGAGCTGTTAAGCAGCTGACAGAAGTAACTGCCTCTTGGTTGTCAGCCTTCGTGTATAAAATATTGTGTGGGGAGGGGGCTTCATTTGGTTGGGGATTTTTTTTAAGGCACTTTGAGGCTCTTCTGGATGAGCGATAACAATGATTTCATTATTCCGGCAAAAGCTGTGTTGGTTCTAGTATTTGCTTCCTTTCAAAACTGAAGAAAATGAGTTATTTAAATTCTAGGGTAATTTAATAGCATCTTATTCAGGCAGGCAATGACAGGTAGCAAAAATCACTTTCTTCTGTGTCTAATGAGTTTTTCTAGTACTTTTTCTCAGGTTTCTGTTTTTTCCTACTTCTGAGTTAGAACTTCCTTCTTGCAACTGGCTTGTTTGATATAGTATGAAGCAGAAGGTGTGTATATGAACAAAGTCTCAAAAAGAGAGAATATGTGAGAGTTGAGTGCTTTATGTAGACTAAGGAAAAAAATAACTTCATTGTATTGTGTGTAACTTGAATGGAAAAACAGTTAAGGAAGTGTATTTGTTATGGTTACTGCTGAGGTTTTTCCTCTCCTTTAATAGCCTATATCAGTGGAATCGGGTGTGATTAACACATCTCATGAATGGAATTATAGCTATAAAAATGTCACAATCCAGAAATCTGGTTACCTAGCCAAGCCATTGTTTTTGTTTTGTGGCTTCAAAAATATGCTTTCCAAACATCCTTGAATGAGGCTTCTAATGTTCTCACTTTCATGATTCTGCCCTCCCCCTCCCCAATGTGTTTGTGCTCACACCGGCTAAAAGCTGCTACAGGGTTGTTTAACAAGCCATGGGATTTGCTTTTTCTAAAATAGTTCTCTTAAGGTTTTTTTTTTTTCCCCTCAGCAAGATATTCATCACATTTCTAGCTTTCATTAGTTCTTACAGGAGTGAGAGAACTGCAAACACGTTTTTAAGTTTAACGCATACTGAGGCATTTTGCGTGATGAAATTGATTTTGAAGAACTACATTCTCCCAAGATCCTGCTTGTATGAACTGAAAGTTTTCTGAAGTCTGTCAGCTGCCATACAAACAAGAAAATGCTTAAATCCTTACACCCCTGCATCTTTAACTGTGAAGTTTTCAGTTACGTCAGAGATCCAGACATGGGCCTGCAACTGCAGCTTTCTTGACCCAGGTGAGCAGCCCAGATCTGTTGAGATCTTTGACGCAGACATTCTTCTGCTTCTCTCATTTGAGGCCTGACCTAATTAGCCTTTCTGAAGTGTGTCTACTAAAAATGGGCCTAACGTGAAATATAGCTAGAGAGAAACAGGAAAAAAAGTCAGGATGGAGTGAACAAAGTGTTTGAAAGCTGCACTGTTACAGAGTAACACAAGCAGGCAGGTATTTTGAGTTTGATTGTGGGAGTTTTTTCTGTATTTTTTGTGCAAGAACCCTGTTAGTCTATGCAGGGATCAGAGCTCTGCAGTATTGAGCACAGGATGAAAAGCATTAACATTTCAAAATTGCTTCCAGTTCTATTGTATCTCGTGTAAATTGTCACCTATAGTTATCTCCCTCATGCTAACAGACATGTTCCATACATTTTTTGTTCTTTTTCATGGATGATTTTCTTTTTCTTGAAATACTGATCTCGTTTCCTGTGAGATGACAGTCGCTCATGTCTGATTTTTTCTGGTATGTTTTGAACCTGATGGTTGATGTCAATTAAAGTTGATTTGTCAAAGATCTCTCAAAAGTTCATGAAAATAGGTAGTTAGCAATGAGGGCATGGACTTACTAAAGGAAAAGTTGGAAAGTAAGCTTTGTTAACTATAAGAAAACTTACTGGGAATTCTCTCCTATTAGATTCCAGAGAATTAATTCACTGATTGCATGTGAAGCATAGAAAGCGAGGTTTTGTTACTTTTATTGCTGACAACTGTTTGTATTTTTGGAGGATGTTCAAATTTCTATGGAATATACCAAATTTGTTTAAAAGGACAGTGTATTTATAAACAAAATGTATTTTATTAAAAAGCTTAAATACCTTGCAGACCTAAGCTGTTGGGTCTGATGTTGTTCTCTGCTTCTTCACCCAGCCAGCAGTAGCTGATTAAAGGACAATGGCATGTATCCTGATAATATACTTGCTGAATGCTCTCCCAGATTTAAACAGTTACTGACAATTTTGCACTCTTCAGCTAGGTGCATAAGTTAAAAATAGACTGGTTTTGAAATACACTATTTAAAAGGAAAAATACCCACTGCCTTTACTGTTGCATTGTAGTAGCTTTGAGTAGAGTCTGGTAGTTCACTCTTAAATTTAAATGCTGTTAATTTCTGACCTTTTGGGTGAAGTTTGAAGCAAAAAAGTGACTATTTTTTCCCCAGCTGTTTTAGAGTGACACCTTGTGGAGTATAAATGTTTGCACTTTATTTCCAAACTGATGGAAAGCCAAAGGATGTTCTAGAAGTAGGAAGTTTCCTGTATCCTGGGGGGGGAAATATGGGGGGGGGGGTGTTCTGTGGCTATTGAGGACACAAACTAATTTTTCCTGTGGTTCCTATGTTCATATGTAGTTAGAAATAAGTGATTTATAATTTGATAGCTTTCTAAGAGGTAAAAAAATAATATTGATAAATTTTCAATTTATAGTCTTCCTGACCAATAGTCCCACTTAGTGAAGAACAAAATGAGAATTATTTAATTTTTATTTATAGAAATAATAATAATAATAAAAGTTATCTAAATGCTATTACAAACGATATCTAAATGATATTACAAATACTGCTATTGAAGCTCAGTAGTTATTAGTTCTAGATCACAAACATTAAATATAATAAAAAATCTAAGTATCTTTTGAAATATAATGGTGTGAAGGGAAAATGAAATAATGCAGTTTTAATTCAGGTATTTGGAAATATCATTCTGCAAATAGAAGAGGGAGGTAAAAACAGGGAATGCAGAACACAGGAAAAGATAAAGGCACAGTGATGAAGAAAATCATTCTTCAGGCTAGATGGATTTCACTTTTCTAATAAATTGCTCACTTCTGCATTACAACCATGATTATATAGTATCCTGTCTCCCACAGTCATGTCTGCAAGTGGCTGTCTGTATGCATAGTTCTTATAGGACTGTGTCG